ACCAAGCCGCTAGGATGCAGGCTCTTTGAACGACACCGAGACAAACTACGACTTCTGCCTGCAGAATCGACAGCTCGAGGGGGGCTGTTAAGCCTTATTTATATCTTCATTCAAATCTCAGCAACTACTTATCTTTATCTTCCTTGGGTTTCTTATCTTGTTATTATCTTATACAACTGCTACTTATCTTCTCATGTAAATTCTCTATATATATTGATATTGTAATTCAAACAAGACGCAAGAAATGCAAAATATTTTTCCAACCTATTCTTTCTTTTACATGGGGGTTAATTTATAGTTGAGGTTTGGGGGGAGAGAGAAAAAAAAAATAACTAGCAACCAATGGTCACCGTTAAGCAACCAACGATCAAATCAATTAATTTTTTTTTGATAAAATATCATTTTAACCAGCATTTTTATTGTCTATTTAAAAAAAATAAAGGTTTTTTTTTTTAATATTTTTCAAAGGTGTTTTTGAAAAAGGAGAAAAGGGTTTGGGCCCTGGGATTCCTCCATGGCCCGATCCAGTTTTAGGACCAAACCTTCTATGATCAATTTTTTGGGTCCAATCCCAAATTCTCACCTCTAGAGGGTACAAGTGTGGGAAAGTGACAACTACAAGTACCTCCCTTCTTCATTCTAAAACGCACAAAAGCTTTCTTAAATTTATTTTAGATCTCTCAAGTTTTTGTGTGTTTTAACTGAAGCCATAACTCCCACTTGCATCCCAACTTGACAACTTGTCAAATTGCCCTCACTTGACATTTGTTGGAGGTCCACCATATACAATATTCAAAACGAGAGTATTGTAAAGAATGCAGCTCACCAATTTTCAAATAAGGGATAACTTTACAAAAAAGGGTAATTGTACCTCCCCTCCCTGTCATTCTAAACACAAAATTTATTCAAAGATTCTCATTCCAACCCCCTTAAGTCTACTTTCTCACTTTACAGTAGAGGTGGCATTGGGGACTGGGTCCAAAAACCCAACCCCAAAACCTGATCCTAGGAGGCTTAGGCCCTCCTCAAAGGCCCGAGCCCAATTTTTTTGGATTTTTTAGTTTAATCTCCTGCACAATTACAAAAAAAAAAAAAAAAAAAAAAAAAAAAAAAAAAAACCTTATAAATTTTAAAATAAAATAAATTACAAGGGTAAAAATGAAATTTATAAAATTTAAAAAAATTAAAAAAAAATTTACTAACCTTTGGCCGCATATAAATTTTTTTTTTTAATCGGTTACTGCTAGCCACTTGTTTTTTTTTCATTTCCCACCCAACTACACTATAAATAACACTAAAATCTTTCATTTTTTCCACACCAATCAATCTCTCTCATTATTTATTTGGGTCCGAAAAACAAATAAATTGAATGAGATTTGATTAAAGATTTGGAGTAGAGAGATTGAGATAATGAGATATTGATTGGTGTGAAAAAAATGAAAGATTTTAGAGTTATTTATAGTATAGTTGGAGAGGAGGGGGGAATGAAAAAAAAAAGGTTTAAAAAAAATGCTGCCAACGGTTGGTAAATTTTTTCTTTTTTTTTATAAATTTGAAAATTTTATTTTAACCCTTGTAATTTATGTTTATTTTTAAATTTATAGGGGGTTTTAGTAATTATGCAAAGAACTAAACTGAAAAAATCTAAAAAAATTACATAAAACCCCCTATAAATTAAAATAAACATAAATTACAGGATCAAAATAAAATTTTATAAAATTTATAAAAAAAATAAAATTTTACTAACCGTTGGTTGCTACCAAAGGTTATAATTTTTTTTTTTAACCGTTGGCTGGTAGCCAACAGTCACTGCCAACCAATAGTTATAATTATATATATAACCTTCCCCCCCCCCCCCCCTCCCCTCCCCCTCCCCAACTACACTATAAATAAATCTAAAATATTTCATTTTTTCCACACCAATCAATTCTTATTTATTTATTTGGGTATGGGAAACAATAAATTGAATGAGAATTTGATTAGAGATTTGGATTATTTATTTGGGTCGGAAAACAAATAAATGAATGAGAATTTGATTAGAGATTTGAGTAGAGAGATTGATTGGTGTGGAAAAAATGAAAGATTTTAAGGTTATTTATAGTGTAGTGGGTGGTGGGGGGGGGGGGGGGGGGGGGGGGGGGAATGAAAAAAAAAATGTTATTATATAAATTATAACCGTTGGCTGGCAGTGTAGCGAACGGCTAAAAGAAAAATTATAACCGTTTGCAACGGCCAACGGTTAGTAAATTTTTTTTTTTAATAAATTTTGTAAAATTTTATTTTAATCCTTGTAATTTATGTTTATTTTAAAATTTATAAGAGATTTTATGTAATTGTGCAAGGGACTAAACTAAAAAAATTACATAAAACCTCCCATAGATTGATTAGTGTGGAAAAAATAAAAAATTTTAGAGTTATTTATAGTGTAGTTGTGGAGGGAGGGGGGAATGAAAAAAAAAAAGTTATAATATAAATTAAACCGTTAGCTGACAGTGACCATTGGTTGCTAGCCAACAATTAAAAAAAAAATTATAACCGTTGATAGTAGTCAACGGTTAGTAAATTTTTTTTTTTATTTTATAAAATTTTATTTTAACCTTTGTAATTTATGTTTATTTTAAAATTTATAGAAGGTTTTATATAATTATGCAAGGGACTAAACTGAAAAAATACAAAAAAAAATTGGGCCCAAGCCCTGGCCTTGGAAGAGGGCCCAATGGAGGCCTGGTCCCAAAACTGTTTTGGGACCAGACCTCCTAAAGGTCCAATCCTAAGATCAGGTTTCGGGGCTAGGTTTTTGGACCCAGTCCCAAAATGCCTACCTCTAGAATAATGTAAATATTATTAACGATAAAAAAATTATTTAATTGTTTATTTATGAAGCATGAATATGTGAAATGTGAATTTATGTTAAAAATTAAAATTAACTATTAATTTATTTATTATTTTTTAAAATTAATTAAAATTATAAAAACTTACTAATCTACCCCTGAAAAATACTAAAAACCCCTTATAAAACTTTATTTCACCCCTACAATATAAAAAAAAAAAAAAACAAGGAGAAAAAAAATTATCCAAACCCATAAGACCGGTCTTGGACCCATAGGACCAGTCCTAGGGACTGGTCTGGGTCCTCATATTTCTCATGGGCCTAGGATGATCCAAGCCCATGAACGACTGGTCCCATTTAGAAGCAATCCCAAACGGACCCAAGCCTAGACCTGCTTGGGACTGGTCCACCAGCTCTACTTTACAGTCTTTTGCAGTTTATTTTATTAGACTTACACCCCTAAAATTACAACAAAAACAAGTTTATTTTCAAACCAAATCAACAAATAATTCATTTAAATCATAGTAAATGAAAGCGAAAGATCCCTAAACTGTTCCTAATTATGTTCTCGATCTTCAATCTCCAATACCATGGAATTACAAACTCCCTTAAAAGATTTTCCAGAAAAAAAAAAAAATAAACTGTCCAGAAATCATTTGTAATGGATATTTAATATTTGTTCATATTTCATTATCTGGAAAATTGGAGTTTATAACCTCATGAATATCCAATCTTAGATGAATCCATTTCTATCGATACTGGATTTCATGAACTATGATTTAAACTCTGTGGCAATGTTGTTTTGAAAATCAATGTGTTTTGTTTTAGATTGCACTTTCGCTAAACCTTGGGGTGCAAGCACTCTTGTACCCGGACGGCACAGACAACAGCCCAAGCTGCTGCAGCTGGGAAACAAATAAATTTTTCAATAGAAAAAATTTGTTCTATCTTTCAAATGTTGAAATGGTTGCAAAGAGTAAACAATTTAGCTCCTTTAAATTTGAAGGAAACCATGTATGAGAGGCTCCCTCCAATCGTGTTAGAAGCTAAATTTAGGCACCATGCAAAAGGTTGCTTGTTTTAGATTGATAAACAAACACCCGTGTCTGACTGAATGCCATTACTCACTTAGAGGGTTTTTTTAAAGGAAAAATTGTAACCAGGTAATTGTATCATGAAACAACAATGAGATGAGTTTCATGGATCTTCTTCCGGTAAATTTATATGGGCTCCAAGCGGCAGACGGGTAGCCATGAGTAAGGCTCCTGCTGCTGACTCAGATGTGGAGCCACATTCAAATCATATGTTTGTTCAATGTTATATATTATTTTCGTAAACCAGACAAAAGACACAATAGATTTTCCCAGTTACCTGAGCAAAACAGCTCTGCCCAATTAAATTAAGCAAATGAAATCAGCCACCAAGTGGATTAACTCTATTCTTCAACTCCACATTGCAGCTGACACATAAATAAAGCCGATTTATTGTTACACATAGACGATACCCAGAAATAAACGACGCAAAAGAAAACGTAGAGATTTGATTACCATAGTTGTTCTATAAGACAGATTCGTCTTCACTCCGAACTCCATTATGAGCAGAGTCGAAACTGAAACACAAATTGCTCTTTTAGAAGCCATTTGGCTGCCCTAATCGACAGAGTGAGTGTTGCAGATGTTGTAGCCATTTAAAAGCAAACCATGAATGTAAATTTATAGTGGTTTCCTCAAACCCTAATTCGCTGTGACGATAAAATTACTGAAATTGACGAAGATATCAGCACTTCTTGAGGGTCAATAAAGTAACTTTTGTTACTTCGTTTTTTAATTTCCAGTGCTGGATTGACAAAAGCCTATTTGATCAATTTTATACACGATGTTGAGCCCAAAACCCAATGATCGCTTAACGGGCTGTCCATGTTTAGCCCAAAAGGTCATCATTTTATTAAAATTAAATATATTTAATTTGTAAATTTATAAAAATTAAAAAATATATATTTGATTATGCGAAGAGCGGACAACCTCTTTGGAGATTAAACGACGTCGGAGCACAGACCATAACGGCATAACCGACTCCGGAAGTTTCTGCGCTGGGACTTGGGAAGATGAAAGTTTTGCTAGGAGCTAACGAGAGGCCACGCTCAGGTCTCCTCCTTTAAACGCGTAAGCACGGTCAAAGAGAGAAGACCTAATTATAACTAGAGAGAGTCCAGTAGGCTTTCTTTGACTCATCAATTAAATCTTCTTTTCTCAACTAACCCTTTGAAAACCGAAATTAAATTTCTTCGAATAATAAGAAAAGTAAAACCCTACACACCCAAATCTCGTTTCGTTTTTCTCATTGTAAATCTCGTTGATTTTCTTGTTTTTTTATTATTTCTAACTGGGATAAGGCTTGTGAATCTACACTATGGTTGCAACATCTTGCTCTGAACTTCTGTTCCAAACGAAGTTCACTGCTTCCCATCCCCATAAACTCTATCGTAAATTCTCAAGGTATCAACCTCACCAAACAGACAATTATACTGAATTTTATCAATTGATATATTTTCTTTAGCTGCTATAGCCTATATGCGATCCTTTGAGTAGTATTGACTCGGCTGATTCTAATGTGATCACCAAATATTTTGATCATCTATTTGAATTTCTTGCTTCAAAGAAGTTTTATTTTATTTGTCGCATTTTCTTTAGTATCATAAGCTTATATTTATTTTTTCTGCAACTAAAGAATGTGCTAAGTCCTCCGTTTGTTCGTTTTTCTGCTTAAAATATAACCCATTTCTTATTTTCTTAAACAATCAATATTATCAATTGTTGAGATGTAGTATCTGCGACTATGTGATTTGCAAAATCATATCGAGAAATTGCACATTAATTAGTTATATTTGTTATTTTTCGTTTTATTTTATGTTACTTGTGTGGTGAAAATATATAGTTGTTCAGAAAATTGTGAGTCATTTGTTTATAAACCCGTGTTTCTGTGGTGTTCAGTATCAGTATTTCTATTATGCTTTTTCTTTCATTTTTTTATTGTTTGGAAGGAATGTTTTCGAGATGGCTGCCAAATTTTCTGCATGTTATGATTGTTAAACCGGGTGATTTTTAGAACCTAATTAAACGCTGGACCATACAGAGTAATGGCCAATGAATATTGATATTATAAATATTGAAGTTTGTTTTGGGGTATAATTAACTTGATATTCTTTTATTAGCAGGTCATGCTCTCAGACCACGTCTCTCAGTGGATCTTCATCTCAAGCACGCACTTATCTAAGTATTGATTCAACTATTAAACGAACTGGCAATGTTGGGGGGCCGTATGTTTATGGTCCTGCTCAAAAGAGAAGTGTAGTGGGGAAAACATTTTGTGCTGTGGGAGTAAGCACATATGGAGAAAATGTTGCAGAATATCAACCTCATTTACATGCCGCAGAAGATAAGGTCGGGGTGCTTCTTCTGAATCTTGGAGGGCCAGAGACACTTCATGATGTTCAACCGTTTTTGTTCAATTTATTTGCTGATCCTGTATGTCAAATCTCTCTTTTTCAGTTCTTCTATCATTTCCTTCATTGTTATCATGCCTTTTCAACATTTGTATTTTAATACAGGACATCATACGTCTCCCTAGGCTGTTTCGGTTTCTTCAATGGCCCTTGGCAAAATTAATTTCTGTGCTACGAGCTCCTAAAAGTAAAGAAGGATATGCTGCAATAGGAGGTGGCTCACCTCTGCGGAAAATAACTGACGAGCAGGTGCAACATGTCCCCTTATCATGGCATTCTTTTTGTGTTTTATGTGTTTTTGTCGGTGTATTTGGTTTACTTCTTATGCAAAGTCAACTATATTTTTTAACCTATGCTCTTTTTCTTTCTCCAATCTGTATTTAATATTTTTTTCTTGTTTGCTTGATAATTCCATTTTTACGGTTTTAAAAACTTGTTGCAGGCACTTGCACTTAAAATGGCTCTAGAAAAAAAGAACTTACCTGTAAATGTTTATGTTGGAATGCGGTATTGGTACCCATTCACAGAAGAGGCAGTTCAGCAGGTATGTTTTACCCCTTTCAGTAATGGTCTCCCATTTATGGGATACTTTTTGGCCTGGAGATGATCCACATAATTAATTTTTTTTGTATTTAACTGCTGCTGGTTGATGTCAGGGGTTTTATGGTTAAGTTTTTAAAATTTCTTAAAAGTTAAAGAGAGATAGAGTCACCTTTTTTTCATGTGTCTTTCCTTGAGATGCCTAGTTTGTTAAACTACCATGGAATTCTAGTCTTCAATTGCATATTGGATATTATGCTTTAACAGCTAAGTTAAAATAAAAAATATCGCATCCATTTTATAATTTGTAAGAGTCAATGTATTTAAAACATTGGGTTACATGATACAGATTAAGAGAGACAGGATTACAAGGCTTGTTGTGCTGCCACTTTATCCACAATTCTCTATCTCTACAACTGGGTCAAGCATCCGCGTACTCCAGGGAATTTTCAGGTTTTGTTTCTGTTTCAGTTTCTATTCTCTAATTTCTTGCTGTGGTAAATAAATTTGTCCTGAGTCATAAACCAAGTCTGAGCGAGAATGATATTTCAGGGAAGATGCATATCTGTCAAAGTTGCCTGTTTCTATTATTCGGTCCTGGTATCAGCGAGAAGGTTATATTAATTCCATGGCTGACTTGATTCAGAAAGAGTTAGAGAATTTCTCAAGGCCTGACGAGGTGCGTTTTAATACTTGCTCTTCTATATGGTTATCTTGAATACAAAACTGGTATATTTTAAAATTTGAAATATCTTGTTTGTGGTCATATGATGAGATTCTCTCGATATGTGGAACTATAGGTCATGATATTCTTCAGTGCCCATGGGGTACCTGTCAGTTATGTTGAGGATGCCGGTGATCCATACAAAGATCAGATGGAAGAGTGCATCTACCTAATCATGCAGAACTTGAAAGATAGAGGAATTGATAACTATCATACTTTGGCATACCAGGTTTGATATTAAAACCCATTTCATAAGTTTTCGTTTCCATTTTATAGCCTTCTCTTAATAATGAGCACCAGCTGCTGCTGCTGTCCCACTTTCTTTATTACTGGTTTTTCATCTTCTCCCTATTATTAAGTTGGAGAACGAAAATGTTTAGTTGCTTCAGCTTTCCATTTTTTACTTGTTTCCCCTTCTTTCTTTTGGTTAGAGTCGAGTTGGGCCTGTACAATGGTTGAAGCCCTACACTGATGAAGTTCTTGTTGAGCTTGGCAAGAAAGGTGTGAAGAATCTCCTAGCTGTTCCAGTAAGGTACATGACTAGTAACTGAAATATTAATTTATTGGTTGTGTAATTTTGATATGTGCTTCAAATTGGTAGTCGACAGTTTAATTAATTGTACTCGTTACAATTTCAGCTTTGTAAGTGAGCACATAGAAACTCTTGAAGAGATCGACATGGAGTACAAGCACTTGGCCCTTGAATCTGGCATTGAAAATTGGGGACGTGTCCCTGCCCTGAACTGCACCTCTTCCTTCATCAGCGATCTAGCAGATGCAGTAATAGACGCCCTACCTTCAGCTATGGCTATGTCTAACTCAAGGAATATCTCTGACGAAGATGAGCGCGACCCTATGGAATATGCTATCAAAGTGTTCTTCGGTTCAATCTTAGCATTTGTGTTGGCTCTTTTCCCCAAAAATGGTACTAGAATTCAGGAATCATCTCCTTTGAAGGTGAAAAAAGAGTTGTAAGAGAGCAAATATTTTAAAAAGGAGTATTACAGCTGAGTTTCGTATAAGCTGCCCATTTAAAGACTAAAAGTTTAAACATGGTAACCGGTTTTTTTTTTTTTTTTTGGGGGGGTGGGCGGGCGTGTCCTGGTATAGGGTTTTAATTACTAAGATCGACCAAGAATTTTGTTTATTATACAGGAAAGGTGGTATTGGTTTTTTTGTTGTAATTAGGGAATAGATCTGATCAGTGATCAGTAAAGTTCTTATGGTTTTCTGTTTGATGTTCTCTCGTTATGTATTGATAATAGATATAGATATTTGTGCTTATCCTTTTTACCTTGTATTTTTATTACAATTTTGTATTTTTATTGCAGTGTTGATATGTCTACTTAGATTTTATTTGCGACTGCCAATCAACCAGCGGAGCTGACTGATCAAGTGATTTTGCCCCCTAATGTGGATTAATCTCTCTCATTTAACAGTATAGATAAATTTCCTTCATAGCATCCTGGGGAGTCTGGACATCATTTCGAGAAAGCTAAAAATATTCATTTGAACCCATTTCAGAACATTTAAGATTAACAGGATCGATGATTTTTCAGATTAGCTTCTTAGTAATAGAGATTACATTTTCATTTTCGAAGTAACACAACATTTTAAATGGTGTTTCAAATATCTGATTTTAAATGATGTAAACATCTCAAGATCAAAACTCAAAACCAATCCCCATGTGGAACAGAGACAATGCTCCATCCCACCAGGTAGTGCCAGCAAACTCTTCAACCAAACTGAATGAAAATAGCCAAGTAGTAAGAAGAATATACAAATATCAGACACTATCAAAATGGCAGTAGTAACAGAATGAACAAGCCGTGCATCTTATTCTGGGATCAGAAAGAAAGTTTATTGAAATAAATGAGTTGTTCCGAGTTCTCTTCATTTTCTTTTTTGTCACAGAATTAGATTATAGTATGTATGTTATGTCACGACTCACGATGACAACAATCAGAGAAGGCAAAAATTAAGATAAGTGTAATCGGTTCAACTTCTGAAGCTATTCATCTCGGTGCAGCAGTCAAACATAGTAACCAGTTATTGTAAAGCCCCGGCCTATGATCTCACCGGCACAGAACCAGGCGAAACACTCCAGCCCAAACAAAGCTGCAATACCCGCATCCTCTATCTTCAGTTCTCGCCTATTTTTCAGTAAGTGCTTGGCATAATCAAGCTCTTTCCAAAATGCTTCACAACGGCCAGGAATACTATATCACAAAACAAAATAGACATACTGGTGACATAAACAGAGAATCTGAATTATAAATCATCATCAGCAAGAATGTGCATATAAATAGACAGAAAGAAGCAGAGGAAAAGTTTATAAAAAAGCATCTGTCCAATTATGAAAAAACAACAGGCATTCAGTTCATGTTTGAATGAAGTAACAGAGAAAATATATCCAGTTTAAACCAGTAAAGAATGGATGGAGCAGAGGCTGAAAGACACCAGACAAATTGACACAATGGAAACAAACTTAAAGATGGAAGTCAAAATCAGTGAGGTTTGACAATAATATCAACATATGTGGAACATAGAAGACCAGAAACAGGCTAAAGTGAGAAACCTGCTGAGGCGAGTGTAGAACAATTGCTTAGCAAGGAGATCACATTTCTCAACAGTTGGTGGCTCCTGGATGTATTGTCTGTTCTTTTCTAATAACTGCCTGTAGTATCCAGTTCCGTGATTGGCTACAAGCTTTGAGGCCTCAGTAGCTTTGGATTGCAACTGCACTAGCTTGGTTGCCATTAATTACCCCAACTATTCATCAACCAAGAAATGTGTAAAAAAATAAAAATCTAATCCAGCAAAAAGAAGTGGCAACATTGGCTATATAAAGACAAATGAAATCCCAAAGCGTAAAATGGAAGCAAATTCAAATGAATCGAACTTTAAGGAGCCACAGATAGGTGTATTAATCAACAACCGCGAATAGAGGAACAAAATTTGCATTTACGTTTCAAGCTATGGAGCTAAGTATAATTGAAATTTATCAATCTGGTAAACGGAGTTAACTAAGTCGAAACCCTAATCAATTATCTAAGAAGACATCATCGTGAAAACATAAGCATTTTGTTGATTATACATTATGACTAGTATATATCAAAAATCAAAATACAAATGCATTATTATATAAAAGACGGCATATTCAATTACCTTTTTGCGATTTGGAAGAGAACGTAGTTGGGTTTTCTTTTTTATTTATGCTTGTCTAAAGAGTAAATCTTAGTTTCTGGGGTGGGGCTGGGTCGGTTTCCCTTTCTCTGCAGTGAACGGTTTCCACTGCACTGCAGTGCCAGCGACTAATAAAATCTCGCCATGTCAATCAATAGGAAAATCATCATTTATCTTAAAATTCTTGGAGATAAAATTATTGTAATATTCTTATATTCAGTAGTACTAGTTACTGTAGTACAAAGTTCTGATTCAATCTTCATTCAAATAATTATTTACTTTCTCAAGATATGCATGTAATATAAATGTATGGTGGTTTAAGTTGATGAACATGAACTTTCTAGTTTCTACTTTAATTGTCAACCTTCTACTCTTTCTTTATATTTAAAAATATTTAACAAAGGAAAATTTGATTTTGTTGAAAATTCAGCCATGATCACATATGTTTGCGTGCGTTTAGTTGGATGCTGCTGATCACCAAATGCTCAAACCCAGAAATTTACATTAACGTGGGCTTATTCTTATCCCTCTCAACCAAACAAAAACGTTACTTTTAAATAAAAACCCTTAATTATAACAATTTACCATGACCAAGTACGCCTAGAAGAAACCTGCAGTTGCGTATAGTTGAGATTATTTCAAAACACCATAAATAATCGAATTCAAAAAGTCGGCCAATTAATTGCATAGTTCTTCAAATCAAATATACTTTAACAACCACAGCAAGGAAATGGAAGCACGAACATGCTTTAAACAGTGAGTAAAAACTAAAAAGATTGGACAAGGAAATATAATCATCATCCTCAATATTCAACAATACCACAGAACTAGATGAAGTCTTAAACATACAACTAAATCTAACTAGACCTAAACCACTGGAATACAATAAACCGTCATCAAACATACAAGCAACAAAAACTGACAGTTGAATACCAAGTTGCCACATATGCCTGCCTAACTTTGGGGTGACTTGGATACTCCACTCTGTTGAACAGGCTGAGAAGCTGGTGCTGCACTGCCATCAGCAGAATACTGTGAGTACCCAGCAGCATAAGAGTTGTAAGATGGTGGCCCCTGACCATAACCTGGTTGACTAACTGGTGGTGCACCATATCCATACCCTTGCTGAGCAGCTGCACCATAACTGGATGGTGGGGCACGTTGAGAACCTGAATCTGGTTGAGAATAGCCAGATGCTGGTGGCTGTGAATGGGGATATCCAGGCTGAACAGGTGCTGGCTGCCCATAGCCTCCTGCAGCAGTAGGTGACTGTTGGGTCTGTCCATAAGCAGGGGGATTGGGTTTCTGTCCTTGGGGTGGCCCATAGCTGGGATACCCAGATTGAGCTGGTGCTTGATTCCCATAGCCACCCTGAGAAGTTGGAGGCACTCCATAACCTGGCTGAGCAGCTCCTTGAGGTGGATAGCTGGCAGGGTTTGGGCTAGGCTGTTGACTGGTACCATAGGCCTGCGCAGGTGGAGGTGCCTGTGTTGAATCACCTGTTCCATACGAGGGAGTATGCCCCTCTTGAGTTGAATTGGTCACATTACCATAGCCAGATGCAGAGTTGTAACCTTGTTGCTGGTCATATGATGCAGGCTGCCCATACCCTGACTGAGGCGCATGGTATCCACCATAGCCATCTTGAGAATAACCTTGTCCCTGTTGGTTATAGCCAGATGCTGCTTGCTGATTGTAATTGTAACCAGAGTTATCTGCTGGAGCTGCTGTACCACCAGGGGCTGCTGGTTGCTGAGAAGACAGTTGTTGACTATAGTAATCATAACCACTCCCCTGGGTAGTTTGCTGGGACGGTGGTACAGAGGACTGGTCCCAATTGGTAGAATATCCACCAGATGTTGATTGGGAAGGATAGCCAGCATATGGAGGCTGAGACATGTTATACTGGGGTGATGGACCAGGATATGCTCCAGGCTGCATGTAACCATACCCAGGTTGTTGCATTGGAGGAGCCCCAGGTGTGCCCCAGTTTGTAGGTGGTCGTGCTTGATAACCTTGCTGAGAATATCCTCCAGCCATTGCTGGATTTCTAAGACGATTCTGCACAAAATTGTTTTTCAAATAACCAGACTAGACATTTCAACAATGCTGAAACAGATTAACAATGTAGTAGAACATATAATGTATGTGTTAAACATAAACAACTAAATATAAAACATCTTAAAATAAGCATAAGGAAACACAGAAAAACAAATACAACCATATAGGGACTAACCGAGTTCAAAGTACATTGGGAATGGGCATAAATATAAATACCTACATACCGTACTGGTTGATGGGGTTATTGAGTTACTCCAGCAGAAGCCCATCCTCTCTCTATTCGAAGTGAATGGGAAAAAAAAAAGAACCACGAGTACTATGCAAGCTTTTACATAAAAGCAAACAGAGACATAAACCCATTGCCACTGACAGGCAAAGAGTTCACAAGAATTTCATACTATACAATATCTAGCCAAAATATTCAATTGATGCATTGTATTTAACAGAAGCATCAATCTAAGCGTAAAAGCATCCTAAAAGATCAATATGTATTAGACAAAGAAGACAGGATTAATAATAGCCCCATCATTAATAGAAACAAACCCAATAAGTGTCTAAATTAATAGAAACACAACATGCCAAACTTAAGCACTAGTAAATGTGTAGATGCACTACAGCAATGATGTAAATGTAAACAATGCTGATTGCATCTAAGCAAGATACTATACACATATTCCTATATAAGAGAAGTGGTTGTACAGGGACTGATATAAATCTTAACTCACCACGCACACAACCAATCTACTTATACACGACAGTAGGGATGCTCTTTGACAAATTTGTTTAAGATACATTATTTATGTATGGACTGAGATTAACTTTAAATACAACTGAAAAGGGCTCATATCAAGTAAGAGATGCTTAATTGACAGAGATAACAAGTTGCAACCTTTACCAAAGATGAAGTGATAATTATAACGCACATGATAGTGTGCAAGAATAAAAAGATGAAGATGTGATCCAACTCTTCTGACATAATAAAATGTCCAAAAGTTTACAAAATCCTATAACTTTTGGTAATTGGTGTTCAGGAACAAAGCAGCTATGGCACATATCTTCAATTAATAACCTAAAACCCCCTCCACAATGATGAAGCACATTAAACCAATCATAAGGAGGAATATAATTAAGTTCAAAATAACTTTGATTAACCACCAAAATATTTCATTAAAATAAAGACCTGAATATTATTTAGTTTTCCACATCATTTCTAAACCCTGCGACTGTTAAAACAAAAAACTGAGGGAAAATATAGAAAGAAAATTCTTACATAAACAGACACTACAAAAGATATTATCCTGAAGCTCATATTCCAATATCAAAATCCATTCCAATAACCTTGTACCTCCATCAATAGTAAACTTGCACTCTCCCTCACAATATATATCGGAAATGGGTTTAGAGCCATACCAGAGCAATGCTGAGGGAACACCAACACAAAAGATCCATGTTGGTGTGACCAAAAGTCCACTATAAACTAACCCTACAATAGTTCTCAATAACAATATCAGTCACATTATACATGATTAATAAGCATATTTGGTGGCCAAATAAGTTATAATCCCAAAATTCCATTTACTCCGGAATACAACTATAGTAATATTGGTCATATGACACTAATAAACCAAGTAATCTTTCAAATAGCCACAAACGAAACAGAAAGAAAATAAGTTTAAAACCTGTCTCACCATCTTAACATCCAATAATCAGCATCACACCTTAAGAGAGCTAATGACAATAACAGTAATCTTCACAAAATATTGCAGTTAAAACTATTGAATTCATCTCTGTCCAATACTCAATTCACATATCCAAAATCACAACTTTAACTGAAGCAGTTCCAAATATATGAATGGCCGGAATTTATAATGCTACAAACTCCTAATTCAAAGCTAAACATCAAAGAAAATTAGATGAACACCCAGACTTTTACAACTAACCATCAACGGAATTTTTGACACTATATAAACATCATTCTTAACCAGCTAACTATTCGGCCAACAGAATCAGCATTAAAATAATTCTGCAGTTTTCAGGAAATTCCAAGACCAATACAAGGAAGAAGTAGTGAAGATGATACAGATAGATCCAATCCATTAATAGCAGGTTAAAGATTGAGAATCAGAAAACTAATCTTCTTTCCCTTTATATAAACTATAGCTAAGTCTAGTCATGATGAGACATATAATCTACTTCTTTATCACATGAAAAAATAGTGAACCGGTACAGTGACTGAGAGAACCAACTGCTGAACAAAGATAACAGAAAATTACTAGGGAAAAGATAAGCTAACATTGACAAGTAAAATGGACACAAAGAAAAAATTAAACAATAAAAAATATTTTAGGAAAAGTGTAGCAGAATCTTGACCCCAATAGAATTTTATATATATATATATATATATAAGAGAGAGAGAGAGAGAGAGAAGAGATCAATTAATAAACTAAGAAGAAAATCCAGAAACAGTTCCAACCCATACTTTAAACTGGACAGTAAGAAACAGTGTAACCTGCACTGACAAAAGTTGTGATACAAACAGAACATTTCACATGAATCCCTCTCAAATAACTATGTAATAAAGTGCACTACAAAGCAATATTCATTCATTAGAGAACACCTTTGGTGGAACTACTAACACTAATCTTCACATTCAAGGTTGAATCAATAAATAGCAAATAGAACTACAAGACTCAAATATAGCACGTAGGAGAGGACAACAAGAAAATGATCACAGTAAAAATACCAAGCTTCCCAACATTAACAGGATCCACCCACACAAAATAAATTGATATATTAAATTCATAATGCATCTCATTTTTTTTGTTGGGCAGGAACAACAGGTGCAGACACCATGCATCATAGAGTAAAAGCCTTAACTGCAAATTAACACAACCACATAGCATACCTCCTGATGCATTCATAACCAATTGTTTTGCACTTTCAATCTGTTCACTAGACCCATCTATCTGTACCGTCCTTCTTGTTGATGTTCGCCAGGGGGCAGTGAGGTATCACCTGCCAGAAAATCAACAAAACAAATGAAAAATAAAATTATATTTATTCGTAATTGTTTCACCCAAGCACAAGATAAACAGTATAGTAAAACAACAATTATCATTTGAGAACAAACCTGAGCCCTAGTCCTGGCTTGCATATTTTTGATAGTTTCACCTCCTTTACCGATTACTAGACCAACCTGCAATCAGGTACACCATTGGCAAAAATCTCATATCGGTAAAACAAGCTAACAAACACAAACTTCTGATTACCTTGTTGTTTGGAATTCTCATCACAAAACTCTCTGATCCAGCCTGTCCAATTAGCCTCCGAGCAACTATACCAGATCCCCTTGTTTCAGCCTATTCCAAACTTAAAGACATCAGAACGGAGTAATCAAAAGATGAATGACATTACATAGCAGTACTCAGGGATAACATATACAAAACCTATACAAAAGACACTACATTCTCTATCATTCCCAATCTAGAATAATGCAACTGTAAAGACATACATGATCTACAAATATATTTTAAGGATGCAATTGAAAAATGACTTAAGTAGAAGCACCAATAACAAAAGCAGAGGGTGGATGATTAAAGTAAGAATATTGGTCCTACCTCAGCAAGAACATCATTAATAAGCTGTTCTGCCTTAGCAATTTGTTCTGGAGTACCCATAAGCTCCACCATCCTACATGGAGAATTGAGGTCTGCCTCTGTGTCTCGAGTTACTTGAATCTTTGCTCCAGACTGAAGTTGAAGGCATTTGATTGTCTCTCCACGTTTGCCAATGATTACACCAACCCTGATATTTGGTATCTCGATCTTTTTACTTGTTCCGATTCCACCCTGGAAGCCACCATACGAAACGGGTATGGCTAAAGGCACTGGACTTCGCTTGACATCTAGTTTCGTATATTTTCAAATAAAGATCCACAAACAAAGTCTTCATATATCAACAAGAAAGAAATGGACATAACATTCAAAGTTCAAGTTCCATTTTCATAACCTGCATAAACCTTGTCCATTTTCGCTGCTCTGAACCAATCCTCAAATGAGATTATAACATTTTGAAAATATTTCAAGTCATATTAATCAGAAGTATTTTTATAATGTTTTTTTTCTTTTATGATTGAAGTTTGATTTATCTACTCACTTAAAACTAATTTATTGACCAAAAAAAAAAAAAAAATTAATTTTTTTTATCTGGAACGGAAAATATTTTTTACAAGTATTGTTTATTAAAATATTTAATATCAATCTTGCTAATTATAAGTATATTAAAGGCGATTTTTAGAGTATATTGTCTCATAGCTCCTATTATACATAAGCTAAAATATTGCATAATGAATAGGTTAATTAGTGTAGCATGTTTCTAATTGTGTTCTATTATTTGGAAACTTAATGAATTATGAAACTTCTAAACAGAAATTATACAAAAAGGAAATTAGCATGTTAGATATATAGTGGAACTCCATTGTTCAACCATTGCTTTAGGATCCACTTGGGTTGTAATCCAAAAATAAGTTTTAAAAATTAAGTTATAATGAAATGATCAAAATTTGTATCTCAATAATTTAAATTTCTGCTGATGTAATGGATACAATATTCAAACAATTGTTTCAAAGTTAAAAATAATTTAAAAAAAAACTGATAAAATAAATCTATTTAGGAATGTATTAAAAAAAAAAAAAAAAAAAAAGGTCAAAAATAGTGCTCGATTCAGCCGAAATCGNTTATTATTTTTGTATATATTAATTAAATATTATGAATGATATTTTTATTAAATAATAATTATTTTAAAAATTATACTAATTTAATAAAATTAATTATTTATTTAATCAAATAAACATTACATTTTTATATATATTAACAAAATTTTTTTCAAGGATTTGAATTCTATAACCGATCCAAGTCTATGTAAGTTTTTTCAAAATAAACAATTAAGAATTATACAAAAAAGAGCTCAACAACAAGATCAAGGATCTCAAAATAACTCTAGTTCTTTTCAATATTTTGATGATCTTAGTAGATCCGTAACTAATCTATCGGAATACTAAATTGTTATTTTAGTTTATGTTGTATTTTTTTTTAATTCTAGTTTTTTTAAATTATTGTTAATTTTTATTTTGAGTTATTGTAGTTTAATATTTGTATTGAATAAAGTTCTATTTTTAATTTTTCATCATTTTTTGAATTATATCATTATTATGAATTTATTATTATAAATAATAATCAAATTAAATTAAATATAAATAATCAAATTTGGTATGATTTTTGGTGTAAAATTTAATACTCAAATTAACTTAACAAAATTAAAAAAAAAACAAAAGAAAAAAAAGCAAAATTAAAAAAAAGAAAAAAAAATTATTGGCGTGGCGCTTTGGCGTGGGTTGGAGATGCCTTTAGTAAGGCCGAACGAGTTACACCTACCCAAGTTTTGGCAAAATGACAGATTGGTACCTAAAAGGTTTGAAAACGACAAACAGGTATCTTCCGTCATATGTTGTTAGTGATTTCCGTTTGCTAATGGTGAAAAGACTAGAATGCCCTTGGAGAAATATTAGTCTATTTTTTTATTACTTTTAGACCCCTTAAGTTTATTAAATTCATAAATACCCCCAGAAAAAAGTTTAAAAATTAACAAAAACACCCCCACCCACCCATGCTTGACAGATTCTGGCAGCCACCGCCGATGGTAGCCGAAATCTGTCACAACGATCTACACCACCACCGGAAATTGTCAGTAATTCACCGATATGGCATTTTCTGGCCAGATCTGGCCAGAAAGTGACGGCCAAAGAAATGGTCGTCGCTTACGGCCAAAGATGGAGTGTTGCGACCGTTGACGGCCAGATTTGGCCGTAGATCTGGACAGAAAAAGTCAGATTGACGCGTTACGACAAAGATCCGACGGGTCTGTGTCGTAACGCAATTTTCTGGCCAGATTCCGACGGTAGTGGCCGGAATCTGGTACTGCGGGTGGTGGGGGTGTTTTGTCATTTTACAAAAATTTTATATATTTGGGTGTTTAGTTAAATTAGCAAACCTAGGGGGGTTTTTAAAAATTTTAAAAAACTAAAATATCAAACTTTCAAGGGCATTCTAGTCTTTTCACCATCAGCAAACGGAAATCACTAACAACACATGACGAAAGGTACATGTTTATCATTTTCAAACCTTTTGGGTACCAAGATCGTTCTGCCAAACCTTAGGTATGTGTAAGTCGTTTTTCCTATTAGTAAAACCGTAAACTGCCATTTGGCATTCAGGGACGTAGCATTAGCATAGACAGAAAACCATAAAAAATTATAAAACGTCTACAATGAAATCAAGACCTGAAAAAGAGTTTTCCAGCAAGCTCTTTTCTCCCTTTTTCGTTATTAACCAAGTAACAAAGAAAGTAATTTCACTGCTCTAATTAAATAAAAATCCAGCCTCAGACTCCACCAAAGAGCGGTGAAGTCTACAAGTTATGCGCCAGTTACATATATTGCTGTCCTAGAACTAAAAGTCACAACCAGCGAATACTGAAAAACTATTTGCATTAACTACAAGTACAGTTACACAGACACTCAATTTTATTGCATCAAGTTAAACCAAAACAATAAGCATCTTCTAACAATTACATAAAAGGTCGTTTGGATCGGGGTATATATGATAACGAGAGTAATTTTCATTTATTTTGTAAGATTCCGATGTTTGGTTTGTAAATAATAAAATATTACGGTAATCTTTTATTATAAATAGTGTTTACTGTTAGTAATGTGGGAGGTAATCTTATTACTTTGTTAGGGGATGTTATTAAAACATTACCAGGATAATCTAATTTTTCTACCCATTTTGCCCTTAATTACAAACCATTTCGAACACAATTGCCCTCAAATGTCTGCCAATAACAATTACGCAGCCTCCCTACATTTTAGAAATTAGCTAAAGCACCACAGCCACAAAAATGTTTAAAAGTTAACAAAATACCCCTAACTATCAAAGACCACCGTCGACGTCAATCGCCATAATGGTGCACGACCGGCAGGATCTAGCCAGTTGTGCACCGGTAAGGCTTTTTCTGGCCATGAATCCAGCTTTTATGGCCATTTCACAGCCAAAGATTTGGTCATGAAATGGCACGGCCAGATCTATGCCCGTGAAATGGCCATAGATTGGGTTGCTTTCAGGGGCGGATTCAGCTCCTTTGGCCTACCCTCATATTTGAAAAAAAATTTTATTAATATATAGGCCATAAAAAATTGTTAATTAACATATATACCTAGACCCACTTTCAGATTTTTTAAAAATAAGAGCTATTATACATACTATATATCTAGGTCTACAAAAAAAATTATTATTAATATATATAAATTCCAAGCCCACATCAGATTAAAGGTTTAAAACTCTCTCCAGTGTTTTTCTACACAGCTTTACATGTTTTTTAATAATTTTATCCACAAACTCTTTACTCTCTCTCTCTTTCTCATGCTATTCTCTCTTAAAATTTTTGAAGACTAAAATTGTTAAATTTTCACTACTCAAGGTGTCATAATTAGCTCCGTTTTCTGTTTTATAGATTTTATGTATTTGTATTATTCATTTCAATTTAATTTATTTAAGGATTGAATCGTTTTTTTTCTTTTTGAGGTTTTTTATTATAATTTGAGAGAAAATGATATCAGTCTTGTGAGTTTATTTTGTATTTTCTGTCTAAGAATGTACCTGCTTTCTCAAATTAAAACCTTAACTATATTTTAAAGGACGTTATTCTTAATCCTTCACCCACCACTTTCCTACATTTTAAACGTCATCGTTCAATTGTTCAAAATTATTAAAGAAATTTGAGTTATTATCTATGTTTATTCTTAAAAAAATTCCCCTCTTTTATTAATTCACATTAAAAGTCGACGTAACGTTGACTTGATTTAAGTTTTGGTTAACTTTAGCTTAATTAGGCTCAGTTTGATCTACGCTATGAAAATTTATATTATAATATTTGAAAGCAAAAAATAAAAATATTAAAAGATGATTTTGTTCAAGGTTTACTCAACACTTTTACTCAAAATTTTGCTTCTCATATATTCATTTAAGTAAGAAAATATTGTGCTAATGTATATTTTTTTTTCTCATGTTTTTAATATTGTATTATTTTTTTTATTAAGGTTTGATGATTTTTTAAAGTTTTCACTAATTATTTGGCAAATAATGGCCGAGCCGCAGAAGCCCTCCCTCGACAAAAATCCTGGATTTGCCACTGGCTGCTTTCTGGCTATGGATTGTGATCCATAGCCATTTCCAGCTTTGCCGGAGCACGATTGGCCATATACGACCAATCGTGCGCCATTTCGTTGATTGTCGATGGTGGCCGACGGTGATGGCTGGCTAGCGGCAGTGACTTTGTATAGATGAGGGTGATTTTACTATAAATTAAAGTTTTATATGATTGGATTGTTTTAGCAAAATTTTAAATGTAAAGGGTTAAAAAAAATGATTCAAAAAATAATAATAAAAGACAGTATTATATTGATATTTAAAAAGGAAGACAATTTAGTAATCTATATAACATATTCACCCGTTCATCCTTCCAACCAAATATATTATTCACTAATTTATTTGAATAAAATATTCTCCTATAATAACCAAACGCCCCAAATAAATAAATAGCAAACAAAGGAAAGTTGAAGCCTGTCAAATAATTTTTACAGGGACTGAAGCCACTGCATACAACAAAAGGTCCAACTCATTAATTATTGGTGTAATACCACAAAAGGTCTTCCTGGATGATTGATGTATATTCAAAAACAGCTAAACATATCTCTCCCTTCACATGACATTGCACCAGTGCACAGATAAAATAGTTGGATTTATTATTCCATTAAGTGTAGTAGCAAAACTGCCACGAAGCAACTTCAGATATCCTCATTTGGTCCACCAATGGTAAAAATCCTTGCGTCGGTTGATCTTCTTCTGCAGCTGGAGAATGCCATAGAGTAGTGCCTCAGCAGTGGGAGGGCAACCTGGAACGTAAATGTCCACAGGGACAATCCTATCACAACCCCTAACAACAGAGTAAGAGTAATGGTAGTACCCACCACCATTTGCACAGCTTCCCATTGAGATGACCCACCTAGGTTCCGGCATTTGGTCATAGACCCTGCAAGAAATTCAAATGAACTTAGCCATCTTTAACTATATATGTTCACAACATTGAGAAAGTTAATCTACAAATAGCTTGGATCTTTACTACGTGCATTTTGGAGAAGGTTTCAAATTCAGTGGAAAAAAAAATTTCAACAAAAATAAGTACTAAGAATCTAACACATCATCCTAAAGTAACAGACACCAAAATAAAAATATGTTGCAGAAAAGATTGTCACCACCAGCAAGACAATATATGAAAAAACTATTAAAGAAAAGTCGACACACGCTATAGTCAGTCATATAATCGACAAGAAGCGTGGATAACGGCACAAGTGTGTAAGTGTGTTTGTTTGCACTACTGGATACAGAAAAACTGATACATATTAGTGATTGATGGAACACCCAAATAGCAAACCACTTTGCACATGGTTTCTCCACAGCCCAACTCTTAAGTATGCCATTTCTCCCCTTCTTTCATTTTTTATAATAAAATTCCTCAGAAATCCACATTTAAGCTTCTTCACCATATCCCTGCTATCAACAACCATGCAAATCAAATATAGCCCAAAGCCTGTATTCTACATGAGCTTGTGCAAACGGACCGACCCCCTAAAATTTGAAAATGCATTAAAAGCCCCTTAAAATTGCTACATACTTGCATTGTGCCTCCCTTAAAAAACTAATTCCCTCCCTTACTAGTTTTTTCCACACATTTTAATAAAAAATATATTCTTAACTTCAATAACTTCTTTTTATATTATACATTCATTAGTTTATTTTATTAAACTACTATGATAATATAAATAATTCTAGTAAAATAGTTTTAATGAACCCACCCTTACCTGATATTAGTTATTGCAATCTCAAAAGTTACTAGTGAAAAAAAAAATTGAAGAATTTGAGTTTTTTAGCATAAATTCTTTAATAAGGTGTTTTGATAGCATTGATAAGAATGAATCAAGTCATATGCAATGCTATTTAAGTATTAAATTTTAATGTTGCCCCCTCCCGCATAATTTTTTGGGTCTGCCACTGTGCAAACCCAACTTGATTTCTCAAGGTTTGCCAAACAAACAGGGAATTGTAATTATGCATCATAAACTAAAATTCTCAGTGATAAACTGAAAAATGTTCCTATGAACAGCTTTAGCTTCTAGTGTAATCAAACACTCAAAACTAATTCACCAGTCAATAAAGCTCTCTTCAGAGACTCATAAAAACCAGTTGACCCCATGTGTTCTTCTTGTAATTCTGAAACATGTAATCTAACGTCTACAATACTCGGTTGCTTATACGTAAGTACTACTGTACTACCAACATCTTTGTCTACATCTCCAAGAAAAAAATTAGGAACACGGGAGCCTCACATACAAAATCGAACAGCTTCATATATTCAATCTTACAAACAACCATTACCCATGAAAGATTTAATGCCTTTTGCAACCAGAGCCCAGCATCCACTTTAAAGCTGAACCCAACCCCTTACCTCAGCTAAATAAAAACAAGTTTCATCAGCCACTAACCCTAACAATAACACACTACAAAATTCTACTAATATCAATCTAAGTCCGTCCAAAAGCAAAAGATATGAAACAACAAAAAACTTGAGATTTAAAATTCATCTCCACGATTCTAAAACAACAATAGGAATAAATTAAAGCATCTTATGTACTAATCTTCCAAAATTTTATAAACCGAAAACACAAAAAAGAGAAATCTGACATTTTGACCAATTATTAACAAGAAACCCTAAGAAGAGAGGGGAAAGATAAATACTTGCGAAGAGCAGGGGCCATCTTGTTGGTGAGAGTGCCAGCGACGATCATACAATCGGACTGTCGAGGGCTGGGCCTGAAAATGACACCGAAACGGTCCAGATCATAACGAGCGGCTCCTGTGTGCATCATCTCCACGGCGCAGCAGGCGAGCCCGAAGGTCATGGGCCAGATAGAGCCACGGCGCACATAGTTGATGACATCATCAACTTTAGAGATGACGTATTCGGCCGTCTTGGATAAGGCAGGGGGCTGGGCAGAGGGCGAGGGCGAGAGAGGTGAAGGATGAGAGTACGAGGCGGGTGAGGGGGAAGGTGAAAGAGAGGGGAGAGTGGTGTGGAGAGAAGCGGCGCGTTGAGAGAGGAGGTAAGGGAGGCGGGTGGCGGTGTTTCTGGAGATCATAGCCATGGTTGATTCTGTTGAGAAAGAGAGAGGAATTCGGTGCCTGAACAGATTTGAGGAGGCGGGCAGTTGCTCTCCGTTAATAAAGAGACTGTTGGGAGCACTTTAATGCGAAGTCACTAATACTTGAGAACAGAGGGGTAATACTAAGTAAATACTAAATATGTCCAACCCAAAAAAAAAAAAAAAAGCATTTAAAAGATTCATCTCCATTTCCCATTTCATGGGTTTCTCTTTCGCCATTGAATTCAACGTAAGAATGATTAATATTACATATTCAAGCCTAAATCATGAGTGATACGATAAAAACTTTTAAGCATATTATTAAAAATATACTTAATTTAAATCTTTCTTTGATTATTTGAAAGCATTTGTTGGATTGTTATTTCTGCCAATTCTCTTTACACCTCTAATATAAGATCTTTCAGTTATTCCATGTGCTTACTGTTTATAACGTTAATGCAGGCCAAGCAGACGTAACATTTGTTGAATGCAAATTTTTCGACCCAATGAAGAAAATAATGGGAAATTTCATTATGCTGTGACTTGATTTGGCACAAGAAAATAATATAAAATTCGCATAGAGATTTGAACGATTTTCCAAGTAAAATGAACTTGGACAAACAATAGTTGCATCTGTAAACTGTAATCACTAACTGTATATGCAAAACATTTTTTTGAAGCCTCAATACGAATTCATATTTTGTATAATTTGTTGTGGTTTGTAATTATATCTTCAAATCCAAAAAAAAAAAAAAAAATTTACTGAGCTGAATTATGTCACTTGCTCATATTAACCATTCCTGCTTCTCAAATGGTTGCTTGTTTCCATTTGGGAAGTCCATTCATATACTGAAATCTATATGTTTATCTCAAATGGTTACTTTAGCTCCTGTTTCAACTTTCAAGCTCAAAGAAAGAAGACATTTTTTTTTTGTCTTATTACAATTCTTAAGTACATAGATCATTCAAGCTCCAAACATGAATAAAATCTAGCAAAATAGCCTTACAACACTACAAAATTTATGGCCAAGGTGATCCAAGAAACTGCAATACATGTACCTCCATCTTCTATTGAGAAGTAAAGAACCAATGAAGCTCCAAAAGCCCACTACAAATCCAGGTGCCATGCTTACGTAAAAGTAAAACCATTCCACTTCATCTTCATTGCCATCTTTTTCTCTTCCATTTTCATAATCAGGTGTTGGAATCCTCTCAGTGCAGCTTTTACAAAGTGGAGATCCACAAAGCTCATTACCAATGAAAGAAGAAGGATCGAAACTTTGTATTTGAGTGCCGGAAGGAATTTCTCCAACTAAGTTGTTGGATAAGTCCAAATGACTCAAAAAATTTAGATTTGAAATGCTTTGTGGGATTCCACATGAAAGTTGGTTTGAAGAAAAATCAATGGATTCTAATAATTTCATAACACCAATCCTCTCCGGAATCCTTCCTGTAAATGAGTTGTGTGACAAATTCAGCAATCGCAATGCTTCAAGATTTGTCACTTCCATTTGGAATCTCTCCTGATAAATTGTTTTTTGAAAGGTCTATACTTCTCACCAAATTAAGAATGGTGTTATATTCAGCCATTTTCCCTTTCCCAACAACTAAAGCATCCTCAAGAAACATCTGTATAGATAAATTTAAATAGGATGTATGCGGTTGATACACATATTCTATCTTGTTTCCTGAAGGGTTCATTGTCACCATGGCACTAAAATTATCGATACATCTTGGTATTGCTCCGGAGAGATTGTTGTAAGCAAGGTCTAAGATTTGTAAAGAAGCTAAATGGCAAAGTTCCACGGGTAAAACGCCATCAAACTTATTTGAACGAAGATTGAGAATCATCAGTTTCGAAAATCCTTCTCCAATCCATGATGCAACATTTCCGGCAAGCTCATTTTCCCCAATATCAAGCACTAGCAACTCTGAACAATTCTTTAATGATATTGGAATTGTTCCATTGAGATTATTTTTGCGAAGGTACAGTGACCGAAGGGAAGTTAAAGTACCCAAGGAAGTAGGAACAATACCACTGAATTTATTATCTCGTAAATTTTTGAACTATCATTGTAGCCCCTGTCAAGAAAAGGTCATGAAAGTTTTCGAACTATGAAGGACCCCTTGACAGATCCTTGACAATTTGATAACTATTAAGGATTTAGCAAAATTTGAACCAAATCCTTGACAGTTCCATAGTTGTCAAGGATTTAACTGAATTTTCAATTTTTTTTTTTTTTTTGAATTTTAGCCAAATTGTCGACAATTTTCAGACTGTCAAGATTTCGTTCGTTAATTTTTTTTTTTAAATTAGTGAAATTTCTTTATTATTATGTATTAAATTATATAATAGTCAAATGAAATGCTTCATAATATTATGGCCATTCAACAATATGTAATGAGACATCGAACAATTGATCGAATATCACATATATTACTGTTGCTTTGAGTAAATAAAATTGAACAACAGTATAAATTTTACAATATTGAATAAACAGTAATGAAAAATTTGATACATAGTTTTTGATCTCATTGGTCTCTAATATCACTGAAACAACAATATATAACTAAAGAAAGTTTGTTACGTACATCGCCCATTCTGCTCTGACTTCATCAGCCTCCACATGTTCGTATATTTCTTTCCCCATAAACTATAAAAGTAAACACAATAAGACTAATCAACAAATATCAACTATATGTTATTATTCCAAAAAAAAAAAAAAAAAAAAAAAAACCAACAAAAGAAATTGATATACTCAATTCATAATGCATCACAAGTAAAATGGGGAAGAGGACAACAAAAGAAATGAGTCACCAGCAAAAATACCAAGCGTCCCAACAAATAACATCAGGATCCACAAGCAGCAAAATAAATTGATATATTCAAATTCATAATGCATCTCTTTTTTTATTTTATTTATTTTTTTTTTTTTTTTGGCAGGAACTAACATGCAATCGAGTAAAAGAGCCTTAATCTGCAAATTAACACAACCACATAGCATAACTCACTGATGACTTCATTAACCAATTGTTTTGCGCTTTCAATCTGTTCACTAGACCCATCTATCTGTACCGTCCATTCTGTTGATGTATTGCCAGGGGGCAGATGCAGAGGTATCACCTGCCAGAAAAAAAAAAAAAAAAAAAAAAAAAAAAAAAAAAAAAAAAAACAAAACAAATGAAAAATAAAATTATATTTATTCGAATTGTTTCAACCACAGCACAGAGAAAACAGTATAGTAAAACAACAATTATCATTTGAGAACAAACCTGAGCCCTAGTCCTGGCTTGCATATTTTTGATAGTTTCACCTCCTTTACCGATTACTGACCAACCTGCAATCAGGTAACCCATTGGCAAATCTCATATCGGTAAAACAAGCTAACAAACACAAACTTCTGATTACCTTGTGTTGGAATTCTCATCACAAAACTCTCTGATCCAGCCTGTCCAATTAGCCTCCGAGCAACTATACAGATCCCCTTGTTTCAGCCTATTCCAAACTTAAGACATCAGAACGGAGTAATCAAAAGATGAATGACATTACATAGCAGTACTCAGGGATAAACTATACAAAAACCTATACAAAAGACACTACATTCTCTACATTCCAATCTAGAATAATGCAACTGTAAAGACATACATGATTACAAATATATTTAAGGAGCAATTGAAAAATGACTTAAGTAGAAGCACCAATAACAAAAGCGAGGGTGGATGATTAAAGTAGAATATTGGTCCTACCTCAGCAAGAACATCATTAATAAGTTGCTCTGCCTTAGCAATTTGTTCTGGAGTACCCATAAGCTCACCATCCTAGTTGGAGAACTGAGATTTGCCCCTCTGTCTCGATTACTTGAATCTTTGCTCCAGACTGAAGTTGAAGGCATTTATTGTCTCTCCACGTTTGCCAATGATTACACCAACCTGATATTTGGTATCTCGATCTTTTTACTTGTTCCGATTCCACCCTGGAAGCCACCATACGAAACGGGTATGGCTAAAGGCACTGGACTTCGTTGACATCTAGTTTCGTATATTTCAAATAAAGATCCACAAACAAAGTCTTCATATATCAACAAGAAAGAAATGGACAAACATTCAAGTTCAAGTTCCATTTTCAAACCTGCATAAACCTGTTCCATTTTCGCTGCTCTGAACCAATCTCAAATGAGATTAAACATTTTGAAAATATTTCAAGTCATATTAATCAGAAGTATTTTTAATGTTTTTTCTTTTGATTGAAGTTTGATTTATCTACTCACTTAAAACTAATTATTGACCAAAAAAAAAAAAAAAATTAATTTTTATCTGGAACGGAAAATATTTTTTACAAGTATTGTTTATTAAAATAATACAATCTTGCTAATTATAAGTATATTAAAGGCGATTTTTAGAGTATATGTCTCATAGCTCCTATTATACATAGCTAAAATATTGCATAATGTAGGTTAATAGTGTAGCATGTTTCTAATTGTGTTCTATTATTTGGAAACTTAATGAATTATGAAACTTCTAAACAGAAATTATACAAAAAGGAAATTAGCATGTTAGATATATAGTGGAACTCCATTGTTCAACCATTGTTTAGGATCCACTTGGGTTGTAATCCAAAAATAAGTTTTAAAAATTAAGATAATGAAATGATCAAAATTTGTATCTCAATATTAAATTTTGCTGATGTAAGGATACATATCAAACAATTGTTTCAAAGTTAAAATAATTTAAAAAAAAACTGATAAAATAAATCTATTTGGAATGATTAAAAAAAAAAAAAAAAAAAAAGGTTTTGAAATATTTCAACTTCGACCAAAAATATTTTCATAACATACTTCAAATAAATTATTTGTGTGTTTCTAGGAAATTACTTTTGAGTATAACTTTGCACCGGCAAAACTTAAAGTAGTTTTGAAATTAAGTAAATAAACTGTTGGAAATTAAATTTGTTCTCCTCTTAATAGTAAAATGACCCAACATGTCCCCAAAGACTTGACATATCAAATGAGTAAAGAACCTCCTCTCCCTTCAATGTTAGAATGAGCACCTCAATGTTGTATAGAGTAAACGATTTTTTCCCACCCAAACAATGGCTTAATGGTACTTTTGCACCCACAGATTTTTAAAATACCACTTTACTAACCAATTTATATTCCCTTTTTTATTCTGGCATCAGTGTGACCCCATACTACCACCATTCTCTTTCTTGATCATCATTCACTAAAACCCCCAACCCTACTGTTAGAGTCATGAAAGTGACTCTATTTTGGTGATAAAAATACCTCATGTGTGATTAAATTGAAGTATATTGAGATAATTAAAGAATTTATGAATTTATTCACGAAAATCGTTTCCTAATATTGTTCTTATGAATTTAACGTGTTTGGAATGATTTTGGAAAGTATATGAGTTGATATTAGGTTGTGGTTTATGGATTAAGGGTGATTTTGTCTCATTTATGCTGTTTAGGGGGTAAAATGTCATGTTTCAAGGGGCTGATTTTGTCATGTTTCAATCATGTAGGGACCAAATTAAAATTTGCCATATTTTGTATAAAACTACAGCTCAAAGAAGCAGATTGGGTGGCTGCCACCCACCAAAACTCTTCACCTTCTCTGATCAAGCTCCGGCGACCCTTCATCTCCTTTTCCGGCGACGTTTCGGCTTCCCGTTACTCTGGTCACCATTATCCCTTCATCACCACTGTGAAACACGCACGCCACCGTGAGCTTCATCTTCCCACAGCAACGTTTCGTCTTCCCGGCCAGATTTAGCCATTTTTCTATGACGTTTCAGCTCCCCAAGAGTCGATCTCCCTTCCCCACGGCTGGATCTAGCATTTCCAAGCTTCAGCTGCCGCAAAAACCACCGGAATCCGTGATTTTGCCGTCGAGCATCTTCATCTTCCAGCCTAGATCCTTCTCATTTCTGGTGCCTTCTCACCTCCCCAGTACCTGATCTGAACTCCCCATCACCAAAGCTTTCCATCAGTACCTTCGGATCCCATTTCCGCCACCGTTTTTCGGAAGACCCACCGAAAAATTAATGTTTTTCGGCGAGTGCGGCTGTTCATATTCCGGGCTGTCCGTGGGTCATTTTCGCCCCTTCTTCACATCATATCGCTGTCGGTTACCTCCTCTCCGCCATGATCAGCTCTGTTTCCACCATTTCAGCCTCCGTCATCACCACCATGAGCGGCTGAGTTCCCGGTTGTCTGTTACGGTGTAGGCGAGATCGAGATTGACTCCATTGATCTCCTCGTCAGCTCTCGACTAGTTGGATGAGCCCGAATGTTGGATATTTGGTTAAGTTTCTTGTATTCAGATTATATTTGTTTTCGTTTCAGTTTGTTTGCGATGCTTTAATATTATTTTGATGCTCGACCTGTTGAATTGATAATGTCCATTGAGAACGTTTATTGATATATAACTTTTCATATAATTGAATGTCGGTTTGAGATTATTGAATGTTGATTATGACTTTAAATTGCTTCGGTACTGATTGCAATCAAGTTGTAGTAGCGTTTAATATCATTTCTACTAGGAATGCATTTATTGTGTAATTAGTTGATTGGATGATACATGTTTTTAGGTTGTACTTGTTAACGTTGTACCAACTAGTGGTGTTTAAGGGTTTAGCATTTTTCGGTTAGTCAATAATAGTCTTTAACCAATCGATCTGTAACTAAGATGACGGGGAGACAAGATAGATTATGCTTAGATTACCAGGAGATATTTCTATTGATTTGCCTAGCCTTGTAGGATTAGGAAATTAAAAAGCGAGGAGAGGAATTGTGAGAGTTGGTCTTGAGTCAAACCGAACCCGTAGCGACAACGCTTTTAATATTGTGTTTTAGTTAGCAATTTATTTAATGCTTTTAATTTCCTACAAGTAATTAGTTTCCTTAGTTTTAATCAATCATTTTGCTAATTTCTCTTTCGTTAACTCAAATATGCATTAGGTCGTTAGTCTTGCTCTCTGTGGATTCGACCCTGCTTACTGCTAACTACGGTATTTAGGTTTAATTTTGTGACCGTGACGACCGGTCTAACACCTATTCCCACTGACCACACCAATCATCTGCAATTAAGTAATTAGGGTTTGCACAATTGCCCTTTCAAGTGAAATTCTGATCAATCCTAAGTTCCTAACCACCAAAATTCTCATTGGCCTCCCCTCTTCAAAAGCCTCAATTGCCTAGGTTGAGTTTGCTCTATGTTCACCATCAAAATATAAAATTGGATAATGAAGTGATATTTTAAAAGTATGTGAGTAGCAAAGTGTCATTAAACCATTATTTGGCTGGGAAAAGTCTTTTAACTTCGGTTCTATATCAAATAAATTCTAGTGTGTTTCCAAGAAATCATGGTAGACTTATCTTCTTCCAAGTCATTACAGGATATTATCAATCAATGTATGATAATGTTTTATAAAATTATAAGAAAAATAAATATAAATTACAAAATAACTTAAAAGGGAACAAAATATTAATGGAGATGATCAGATCTAATATTTTTGTGAAGATAAAAATGGTATTTGAGAAGGGGACAATTTATATAATTTTAAATATTTTAAGTTAAAAATCAAATTCATATTTAAATAATAATAACTTAAAAAGTGTTTTAGGGTTTTAATAATAATTATTAAAAAAAAAGTCATTCTACTCCTGGAAATGAAAGTCCTTTGGATATGCATATTTTTGTAAAGTCATCTGACAAATGCGCGTTGGAAATTAAGTTTGATTGTGAAATGACCCAATATGTGTACAAAGACTTGAAATGCCAAATGTATGTGGAAATATTGTACACGTTATTTGGGAAATTAACGTCTCATTTGACATTTATAAAATAAAACTTTTAAGGGTCAAGATTTTTCATTTATTTTTCTTTCACATAAAATAGCATTTAGTGTAAAGAATTAACAAAATAAACAACCAATTTTTTTTAAAAAAAAAAAAAAAAAAAACTCAAAACAATCTATAATTTTTTTTTTTTTAATGACATACCGAATTTGTTTTGAGAAATTTTATAATAAAATAAGTTGTAATGTTGCCTATTCAATATCGTGGAGTTTTTATAATAAAAATTTAAATAAAACATATGGGGAAAAAATGTTATGTGTTGGATTGTATATACAGCCTTAGTTAAAATCTTATTTTATGAAATAATAATAATAATAAAGAAGGATGAGACTTTTGTGAGATATAGAGAATGAGCTAAAATTGTTATACCCATTGTTTGAGTAAACAGTTCAGTGTATTTTGAACTGAATCTTTATAGAGAAAACAACTCTCTTTTATATGAAGGAGAAGAGAGTTGATACAACATAGTTTTAGTGAAAGGAGACTTAAAGCTGATTTACAATTTTGCCCTCTCTTACTCTTCGATCAACATCTCCCTTTAATTGAGACTGGGATATCAACTTTTCCTTTTCGTTTCTAGTTGTCATTTGCATTCCTTTCATGACTTGTTACAGCTTCAATAGTTGTTAAAATTGCTGAATGCTATTAGTGTTGGAGTTGTTGAGTTGCTACAGACTTTTGATCATGAACTTTGTATAACTCTTGTAAACTTAGAACCACATCAATTGCTCTATTAACTTAAAACCACACCAACTGCAGATGCCTTCCAGCTGAAACTAACCTCAGTAGCATAAAACTGCATAACTGAAGCTGTTAAGGCCAAAAATCGTCCTTGGCCCAAATAGGAAAACAGGATCACTGGTGAAGAAAAGACGAGGCCCAGTCCTAAAGACCAGGCCAAATCAGTCCCATTTGATATGAGATACGGCCGACCCAAACCATCTGGACACGGGCCTCCCAGTTCGGGATCACTTCATGGGCCCATAGGCAAATTCCGAGCCCACGGCCCACTGATCACATTCAAGTTCCTGATCAGTCTCCTACTCGAAGTCACTTTCCTGATCAGAATCGCCTTCCTATCCGGACACTGATAAGACAGCAGACCACGACCCTAATTCTTCTAGGGTTTGCATCAGAGTCATATTAGGACTCCCTACTCCCACCAGGATTGGGAGACCAGACAGTCACTATATAAACAGATGCCAGCCCTCTCACAAAGGACATTGACAATACACCTTCACACCCGAAGCTCCTACTTGAGAGCTTCACATCACGGTCGTAGTCATA